TCATCATGGTCTAACTTGCATAAAGGGCATAATGTCTCATCAGTAATTCCGTAATAATCAATATTTTCATCATTAAATTCATAAAATATATCGGGATATTGATCTAATACTTTCCTACGAAAACTTACACGGCCATGAATTGGCTTGGATATAGATATAGGTGTGGTGCCTATCTGTAACGTGGGTAATGGGCTGACCTGAGTTTCCGATAGAACCTTCTTTTCGAGTTGAGATTTGGCTGGTGCATATAAAGCGTCAATAACATTTTGATATTGAAAAGGTACGGTTTGGCGTGATTCAGGTGATGTATCTACCTTGATTTCTGATGCCCCGCATTCTATTCTTTCTGATTCAGAGACTTGAGACTTGGTTAACACATTTACTTTAGCTCGAATACTCACCTCAGTTTTTGTCCGATCGTGAACGGTGTTCACAGTTTTCGATACTGTCACACCTACTTGATCTATAATATACTGGATTTGAAGGTTAGTAAGTCTTGAAATAGTATCAGCGCTGTAGGTAACACGATTAACCATGTGCCACCCTATACCTTTATTCTTTTTTAAAGTCATAGGATCGTAATCATATCCAAACAACTTATTAATTTTTCTTGCTTTGCTTGTTATCTTGCGTAAATACTCATCAGTAATACCTGTAAGGTATGGTCTCATTTCATTATAAATTTGAGCTCTTGCAGTTTTATCCTTAAGATTTTTGTCTTTGGATCTAAGTTCTATAACCTTATCTTCGAATCTTTCAGAATAACGACCCCAGGATGAAATTTCTTCCCGTTTAGTTTTGATAGATTTTTTTGTTGCTTTACATGCTTGATACAACAAATGAGCAAGCTCGACTGCACCAGGTGGAGAATATGAGGGTTCGCTGTTAATAAATTCGATATTATCTTCTATAGAATTTACTAAAAATCCTTGTAACAAACCTTGCACAATTTCGGTCACTAAATTTGAATCCTTAATATATTTTTCGGGCACATTTTGCGCAGACTCTGGTATAATTTTTTCTCGATCATGAACATTGTTTACGGTTTTTATATTACATAGTGGTTTGGACGAAACTGGCTCTACTGAAGAAATATTGTCCAAAGATGTTTTTATCTTGGAACGTCTCTCCGTTCTTCTGCCTCATTATATTACTAACTCTCTTCTTATTTTCCAAATCTATGAATTCGTCGATCTCTTTTTCTTCTAATGATTTTAGTTTGACTGAG